TTCTTACCTATCTGATAGGTCACAGTCCGTCAAAGTGGAATCTGTAATCTCCACTGCATCACCACTCCACTATGGCGTTCCCCAAGGATCTGTCCTTGGACCTTTACTGTTTAGTCTGTACATTCTTCCCATTGGTGACATTGTCCGAAAGCACTCACTGAAATTTCATCTTTATGCTGATGACAATCAGTTATATCTGTCAGCGGAGCCTAACCTTGCTCAAGGTTGTGCACTGAAGATACAACAATGTATTGCTGAAATAAGAGACTGGATGACCTTGAACTTTCTGAAATTGAATGACACAAAGACTGAGTTCTTAACCATTGGATCCAGGCATCAACGTTCCAAAGTGCCTGACAGTTTATCTATTGAAATTGGACAAGATGTTATCACGCAGTCCGACTCTGCAAAACATCTTGGTGTCATCTTTCAATCAACAATGTCATTAGAAAATCAAATCAAATCACTCAACAAAGGATGCTTCTACCATATCTTCAATATTAGCAAGATCCGAACCCTCTTAGACTTCAACACCGCCCAGCTTCTAACGACCAGCCTTGTTCTCTCTAAACTTGATTACTGCAACTCCCTCTATTACAACATTCCTCAACAGCTCCTTTCACAACTCCAACGGATTCAGAATTCAGCCGCCCGTGTTGTTGCCCGTGCACCACGCTACCAAACTGTGACACCTATCCTCCAAACTCTTCACTGGCTTCCTGTATCAAGCAGAATTCAATACAAACTTCTTCTTCTTACACACAGCTGCATCTATGAAAACATGTTTTCTCAATATCTTAAAAGCCTCATTCATCTCCATGTTCCAAGCCGATTGCTCCGCTCGTCAAACTCCCTACTGCTTACACAGCCTCACGTCAAAACAGCCATGGGATCAAGAGCGTTCTCTGCTGCAGCCCCCTATCTCTGGAACACTCTACCACTCACCCTAAAAGAAATAGAATCTGCTGATGCTTTCAAAACTGCTCTCAAAACTCATCTGTTCAAACTCTCTTTTCCATAGACATTGTCTACAATCTTTTCTTTTCATAGCGCCATTGAGCAATATCTTTTGGAAATAGGCGCTCTATAAATCAATTATTATTATTATTATTATTATTATTAAAGGACAATTGGCATGGAACAGGATTCTTGTCTGTTGCAAGATGAATGACATATTGTTCCTCTATGTGGAGGTAGCGTCTTGGTCACTGATTCGTTAGGGCGTGACGTTTCGCTGTCAAACCTGGGATAGCTAGCTGCACCAATTAAGGGTTGTTATGTAAATGAAATCAACCTGAGAGAAGTACAGAACAAGTAACATTCTTGAACACTAATACCACAATCAACTGAGAGAAAAGGATGCGAGAAGCAGCATTATCCGTTGAGATGTATGAATGCAATATTTAAAAAAAGGTTACCTCATGATCAGGATGGCAGAAGTAGCTTTACCAATTACTTGCAAAGTATATATGCCCACATATACATCACATTTTCTTATCATATTTCATCATGGCTGGGATAGGTACATTTAGATGGTAGGAGATCAGGTGGAGAATTGTTGCTGGATGGATATAGGTATCTGAGACGAACTGCCAACAGGAATGGTACCATTATATGGAGATGTCAGTGCCTGAAAACAGCCTCAGTCACTACAACAATCAATTACAGAAGTGAGAAATTTCACTGTCAAATTTGGGACTGTCAAAGTCCGGACTAAACATATGTGGATATTGGTGGATACATTCCTCGAACAAGGTAATACCCTGACATATTATTTCCAAACATTTGCATTTTGTTTTTATTCATTTGTGGTAGCATTCAACAGAATCATTTTGTTTTGCCGTGTAGCGTAATTAGACAGACAACATACACTAGGTCATACCTAGGGCGTGTGTGAAATATGATTCATGTTGACCTTCTATAAAATGTCTAGATATTACAGCCATGTTACAAAGAAACGATAAGTATAAGCAGATCGTATGCCTTTCATTAAGTTTTAAAATGCATACAAATATGACAATAAAGTAATAAGGATTATAAGACAAAATATAAAGACATACATGGACTGACGTTTTCTTACCACTGGCAGATGATTAAACTTCAAATATTTTCTATTTACTAAACATAAAGATGGAAATATTATCGAGTGAAAAAAAGATTTCATTTTGGTTGATCAATCTATACCTTTACTATCAACTGCGCATGCGGCTGGTGCAGCAAAGGTCACGAACCAGTAGAAAATACTGGGATATCATCCGGGTACTCAGGGGAGAAAAAACAATAACAAAAGCAACAACCAGTGCGCGGAAATTGCTCCGGATCAATGCCCTATTAAATGTAATCATCATATGAGTGTTTTAATCATGTTTTTACACGGTCGGCTTCCGTGTGCGATGTGTTCACTTCCATCAACCACCAGCTTGTAATAACACGTCACATGAGATTAGCCATGTGCTATAATAACACCCAAACTTGTACCGCTTGTCAACGTCCTGAGCCTTATGAAAGTCGACACCTTCTCAAACTATTGTCATGTAAGTGATCATATTTCCTGAGCATTAGAGAACAGATTGGTTTGCCTATTTTGGAATTTAATGCTTGTCCTAGACTAGAATCTCATGAACTATTTCTCTCTGGAATCAGGGAGACTATATAAGGTTGTAGAGTATCCCTGCTGGAATCATCTGTGATATGAACTTGTGTAGTGATTTCTGTAGAAATTATTTAACGTGATCTAAAATGAACAATGCATTAAACATTTAGTCACCTTTTATTGTAAATGACCTTATTAATATTAGTTACACTATGAAGTTTTTTAAGAAGGAATTCATTTGGGTTGTTTTTGCCTCAGTCCAGCCGTGTGTGGACAACATAACTAATTATCTATTAACAAGTTCATGTTATTACGTGAATACACCAACTGCAAAACACCGTCTCTGACCACAAACCCTATTCGCCTACATCCTAATTCGCCTACAGTCTTAAAACAACATTTCATGGTCTGTTGACTGTTGATTACGCAATGGTAAACCACCCAAAGGGTCCATCCCTTGTGACAGGTGTTAATTAGAGGGTACCAATTAGAGAATGTATTCTACTACAATAAACCTATTATTCCCTTGCAAGGGTTCACTTTTATGACGTGTAACAAACCCTGTCCAGTCAGTCAGTGGGTCTGGTAAACTTTTATTTAATCCATGATGTAACGTAGGTCTATGTAGTTTGTGTTTATACAAACCGAGACAGGTCAAAAACTATTTGGACAATAAGTAAAACATACACTTAAAACGGTATTTTGGAAAATGCTAGCCATACCAAGGGCAAATATAACAGTCAATATCAATTTTTGACACTTAGAGCAACAAGGATGCAGATGAGTGAAGATAATACCAGGGGATAATCGTCTTATAGTCTCCCTGGTTATATATATATAAAGAATTGGTTCCTAGTTGATGGAGGACGAATACACTCCTAGGAGGACGAATACACAGTCTATACACTCACGGGGATCCTTGGTAAAAGGAGAAACTAAAGGAAGTAGTGGTAAAATCCTTCCTAAATTTCCAAAAATTTCCAAGCCTTGGAAATATCATGTTTCCAATTTTGGAATTTTTTTTAAATATGATATTTCCAAATTGGAATTTTTTTGGAAATCACCACTGTTTTTTCTTGTGGAAATAACCCACTTCGGACTAACTGGGCGTTCAGTGGGATGGGTAATACGATATCCAGAACAGCATGCTTACTCGTAAAATCGGGCAAAACTTGGAAAAAATACGAATAGCTGCTGAAAACAATAGATCAAACTATAGATGGCAATTAGGTCGCTCAGCCAGGTTTGACGACGGACCGTCGACTCACCTGGCATGAAATGCACGTGCTGCCTACAGGCACAAGGGGTCATTTCAAAGATATGTTGTGCTTTTTCATGTGTGTTGACTTTGTCTCATCTATTGATTAACATCTTACGTGTCTCTCTTTCATATAGTTTTATATAGTTTATGTTGAGATATATAAAAGAGTATGAAACCCGAAAACCATAGAAACGCATCGTAGTATATAGGTGGCATGACCACCCGACAGGACTGGATATTGTTTGTAAATTGTTATGACGTGCCGTGTACCTCCCCAGTATAATTGCCCTAAAGGATTATCTTATCTTAGCTGATATCTCTATCCCCAAGCCCGACCCCAGGTTTTGCTTTTGAGACGGCCCCTCCTATCTGTTTCTTTTTATAGTGACAGTGAGACTGCATGGTAGCTACATCCTTAATAGTTTCGGCATAAAAGTTATTATTTTTTACGTCAGCTATCGTCTATAATGAATCTACATCTAATTTCAAATTGGGCATTTAAAAAGTGTCCTTTGTAATACAATATCGTCGCACACTAATTTGCATAAAGCCATGGTCTGTTCCAAATAAGTCTATTTGGACTTAGAAAAACACCGCATTGCTCATTTCTGCACTAATTTCCCCTCAGTAAAGACCCTTTTCTCCGTGTCCTATCTCTCTACCACTGAGACTGTAGTTTATCAGATATTTCACATTTTTACATATCAACTACACACATTGTAGAGATAAATGAGAAAATCCAGTTTTTTTCTATTTCCCACAGTACTATAAGGGTTAGTTGGTGCGATCTGCCGATCGGCTCAAAAGTGCATGCAATAACTCGACATACTTACTGATATACATCTTTATCTATGTACATGTTATTTCCAGTTCTACACGTTACACGGTAATATCTTAGCGTTGGGGAAAACAATGCGTAAAATGAGCAAACCGTTCAACGCAGCTGTAGTTTTGAGTAAATGTATGTACACTATACAAGAGAAAATGTTTTCTCGTGTTTTTGTGAAGTAATGTAGGAATGTACTTACTCATGTGAATAAAAAAGTGCAAAGAATATGTTATCGTGAAATAGCTTTTTTCATTGGGTTGTGTTTGAGAAACACTGCGTACTTATAACTCTTTAGGGCATTAGTGACAAACGTTTACCTTTCCAGTGAATGCGACCTTCCCTTGGACAATATTCAGAATGTCTTCACTTTTGATGTGGCTTGATTCAAACACCCCGGCCATGTCATACAGTGTAACACCTTCCCACTCTGTCCATAGAAACTGAAAGGGGAGCAGGAAGAGTAAAACAAGGGATCAGGTGAAATATTCGGAAATTGTTTCATGTTATTATTAATTGATATCAAGTTCTAAAAATTGCATGTGACAACAAGTGAGTGAGCTAGAATTTAAAGTCACGTTGGCAGAATTTCAGTCAGACATTACTAATATACTGAACATCATTGAAAACGCATCACTTATAAAAGTTCAGATTATTAAAAGCACGTGTAAGGAATTGATATTTTTTGAGTGGATAATAAATGATTGGACGACGGACAAAAACAACAACACAGAAAAGACGCTCATTCATTTAAATGTTCCATAGTCAGAAAGGATCAAACACACGTGGGGTCAATATCGCGTGTGACCTCCTCATTGAGTCAATAAGCGTCCGAATAGAGTTCTTGATAATGTCATTCCACTTCTGCAGTAGTGCAGCCTCAAGTTCCCGGATGTTTCGCATGCGTTGTCGCCGCGAAAGACTTTGACCAATTTCGTCCCTCAAGTGCTCCATGGGGGATACACCTGGCGACTGTGCTGGCCAAAGAATAACCTGGATGTGCTGCTGGGCCAGATACTGCATGGAATGTCTTGTTTAATGTGCCCGTGCGTTGTCCTGTTGAAAGGTATTGGCATCTTGATGGTGATTGAAGACAGATACGATGTGATTCTGAAGAATCTCCTCACGGTAATTAAGGGCATTAACTCTCCCTTGACAGACATGAAGGCAGTCCTGTGATTGTAATTTAGTCCACCCCAGACCATGACACTCCCACCACCCGTAGGTCTGTTCGAACCACACATTCATCAGCATAACGTTTACCACGTCTACACCCATAATGCCGATGTGACGCAAAACCCAACTCGACCAACTCAACAACTACACCAAACACGTAATCGTCCGTCAGCTTTACGTAGATGAAGAACTGACCCGTCAGTGACTACCACACCATGCCATTGTTGTAACCTTTACTGAAAATGCCTGCTAGCCAATTGTATACGCTCATTACGGTGTCTGTCAGTCAGAATTGGTCCAGCGTAAGGACGTCGATCATGGAGCCCTGTAGCGTGTCGAAGGCGTCGCATGGAGTCAGCGCTGATGACCCCCACGTCAACCTTGAACTAGTGCAGCAGTCCTGGCAGTCGGCAGTGTTCAATCACTGATATGGACAGGGTCAATATGGCGATCCTGATGGAGCGTCGTAACACGTTGTTGCCAAGGTCATTGAAGGTCACGGGTGCTGCCTCTCTACTGATGTCGTCTATGAAGCCTAACGAGGGTGGAGTGGCCAAGTCCCAAGTTGTCGAGCAATATCCCTGCTGTTAGTGCCAACCTGAATCATGCCTAGTGCACGTTCTCTTTCGTGAGGTGTTAACCTCGGCATCTCTGTCCTCGTTTCACAATCGTTAGTGAGGCAATGAGAATCGGTTCTCATACACCTGCTTTTAATGTCACAGTCAGTATGATTTCAGAATGAAATTCGCGCTGTTTTCATGGCGTGGCGACATGTTGATGCATATTTGAATTAAGAGTCATACCGTGGACCGGAATTGGTTTCTAAAGCATTATTTCAACTGGACATGCCCTTCGACTTCATGTTGGTAATATTCATTGATCATAGTCATGCTGAAATCCATCTTGATGAAAATATGGACAATTTTAGACTGGTGCGTTTTCAATGATGTTCAGTATGTATTTTAGTTTTTGAAATCCGTCAAAAAAGAAAGAGAACTAGAATATCACAGATATCTAATTTAAAGCTAGCACTGAAACTTTAAAGGATACTGCACAACATGAAAATGGGCTTGGGATCGCCAACATATGAAGGTTGATCACCACACAGGGGACCGTGGGGACTTTACTTTGCTACCTGTTGGATTTACAGCATCCCTTTAAATATGAACGATTTTGTTAAATTAGCCATCGATATAAATAACACATATTGTGAGGCACAAATACTATTATAGATAAACATACTTTGAATGAAAATAATTTTACAGTACTACCCGATCGAGGTTACTGCCACGAACAATCTCCGTCAATAATCATATCATGCCGAGCTACAATTTATCGTCACATCGGCAATATTTAGGCCATATCGTGACGAGAACAATTCATTGTTATACATAGTAATTTATGGTAAATTATAAAACAAACTATCATCGACGGATAGTAAAATAACCAGATTATCACAGATATGAATTTAAAACTAGTAATTAAATCTAAAACAGTTTAACTATATATGACAATACAATAAAAAATCAGGCTATGGATTGTCAACAACTAAAGGTAGATCACCATACTAGCTGCTAGTACATTTGTTTTCTGCATGGACCCTAGCTGGATTTAGACCATCCCTTTAGCTGTTAGAAATTTAGACAAATCTACACAGACATTAAAAGACACATATTCTTCGAATAAAAAATGGAGAGTTTAAATTTACTTACGTACCCTCTCAGGAGGACGATATATTTTACAGTACTTTAACCCCCTTGAGGATACAGCCACTAACAATCTGAGTTACTAATTCAAACTTCCAATCATAAAATATCTATTTACAAATCATTTAACAATTCTCATTTAAAATAATTTGTAATAATTAAATGAGAACTTATATTATTTAAAAGGTCCTTCATAGTTCGTTTTTTAAAAATAGTTATCCCTAGTGATGGAATATTCAACACAGGATATGCTTGACTGTGATTCTTTCATCACAAGGTATGCAAACCGGAGGGTCCTCACCTGTCATTAGATATTCATTAGATATTCAGGAGTATATCGTGTGTGGCCAATACAACATCGTCGCATGATGGCCTCTTCAAATCTGGACTGACAACCCAAGTAGGTAAAACCAATATAAGGTTTTATTGCTTGTAATTTATTTATACCTACTCGGGTGTCCCACGTCTTCTGCTTCAGATCACCGATATAAGATCTAAGAGTAGCTTTATACTCAGTGTATGAAATAAGAAGAGTTTCACAGAATAGTTGAGTGCTGGCTTAGCAGCAAGATCGGCCATTGCGTTCCCAGATATGCCAACGTGGCTGGGTAACCAAAAGGGACGATGTAGTATTGGCCTGTAGCAGGATCATTAAATGATTCAATAATTTCAGTTAAAAGAGAATGTTTGCAAGAAAGGTTTTAAATAGCCCAAAGGCAAGAAAGAGATTCTGAAAAGATGATATACTGTTTGTATTTAGGGTGTTTATTGATATATTTTAGAGATGATAATATGACGTAAGCTTCTGCTGTGAAAATAGAGCTGTCATCAGGCAATCGAGAAGATCCAATGACAGTGGCACAAGCTACTGCGCCACCATCCTTTCATCCATCTGTAAATAAGGATGTATGTGTATTCCATTTATAAATTGACTAAATTCTTTTTTATACCGTAATTCATTTGTTTCTGAATTTTTAATTGCAGTTAATGTTAGGTTAACGTGTGATCCTGTCAAGAGTTTCCAGAAATGACTCCGGCAAATGGTAGAAGAGCAGATAATGAATATCATCAGCCCCTGTTTCATGAGCATGGTCAAGGGCGATATATAGCTTATGTAATGAAAATAATTAATTATAGTCTTCACCAATTATCCGAGTTAATATTTAGTCGTTTCTTCTCTTGTTGTTTCTGGTATTTTTGAAATTCAGGGACATAATTTGACGAAGAAGAATGTTTGGCGAGAGTTTCGCCAAGCTTATTGGCAATATCAGCCTTATCCGTCAATACATTTTCACCATCCTTCAGATGGTGGACAGTAAATTTGGAACCTTTGCCCTTTATTCGTTAAATCAGGTTCCAAGCCTTTGAAATAGGGCTGCGTGAATTTATCTTGGATACAAAGTTTCTCCAAGACTGACGCTTATTCTGTTTAAATGTGCGTCGAGTCTTGGCATCTAAAATTCTTACTTTATCTAAATTATATGTTGTAGGGTGTCGGCGAAAATATTTTTCTGCTTTCTTCCTACTTTTTCCGGTCTGTTTACAGTCATTATTGAACCATGGCTTACGAATATGTGGAATTCAAGAGGACCTGGGTATAGTTTGGTCAGCAATGTTGTTCTGTATATGATCTAAGCTGTTTGCGAAAAAGTCATGCTTTAAGTGGTCAATACATAATAATAACCAGTCAGCCCTGGCGATGTTCCGTCGTGATAATGTAGGATCATCACCAGGGTCGATTGTTTTGAGAATGGTGGGGAAGTGATCACTCCCACATAGGTCATCATGGACCATCCATTCAAATTCATTATATAAGTTGGAATCAGCAAGTGACAGATCCAGGGAAGAATATGCTCCCGTAGCTGGATGTAAATAAGAGGCTGATTCGTCAATGAAAATACATAAAATATTATCGGATATCCTCAAGGATTTTACCTTTGTTATTGGTATGGACACTTACCCAAAGCGGGTTCTGTCCGTTAAGATCGCTCATGATGAGACATGGCTTCAGAAGTTGACCATACAGATTATGGAGATCTGATTGTTGAATATTAGAAGAGGGAGGTATATACAAGCTATACAATGTCAGAGCAATGTGCAGTGTCAGACGAACAGCAACAGTTTGAAGATACGTATTTAGAGTGACAGGGCTGTGAATGACGCTATTTATGCTTGACAACGGTACAAGAAAAATCGAAACGTCGCACTCACGAATACAAAAAAGTTGTTATCCATAAAGTTTGTTCTATATTGAATTATATTAGACAATTGAGTCATGATGGCTCAATTGGAGATCTTACTCGTGAATGGGAGGAGGAGCTATTCCTCCGCGTGTCCTGTAAGGACAGTGTGACCCTCCATGTCGAGAGGTCAAAAAGGGGTTATCCAGAGGGAGCTCTGAGGTAAGGGGACGGAAGGTGTCTCTTTTCTGTTTAATTTTTTACCTTTTGTTTTGCTGAACAGACTGAGATGGGATGTTTATTAACTGTTTTTGACTCTGCTTCCCAGACTCATAGTCAGGCTGAGAAGCAGAAGTTGACTGTGTGACTGGGGACATAGAT